GAGGGGGAGGAGGAGGGTAGAAAAGTGGGGAGAGGGATCAGGCGCGTTGCCACCGCGGATGCGGGCCCGCTTTCATTAAAAAAGAGAGTACGAGTGTCGACAGGAGGAGGGTGGGGGGGGGCCTGGTGGAAAATAGCCAGAGGCGACGGAGAGGCGTGAGTATGGCAGCGATCCGAGAGGCACGAAGGCGGCGCATGGGGGTCGGGGGGAGGCAGGGGGGAGCACAGGGGGAGCAGGGCAACTCCAACAAGAGCGGGACATCTGAGGCGGGGCGAAGTACCTCGGGGTGGGAGTCTCTCGGGGCGGCGGGGAGGCGGCGCAGGTGGCAGGAGCGGCGACGAGAGCGAGCGAGCGAGCGATGGGGGGGGCAGGAGTGGCGGGATGGGTGTGCCGATGGTGCGGGGCTTCGGGCCGGCCGGGGCCGGCCGAAATAGGGGACCCATTGCCCAGGCGCGCCGGGGGGTGGCTGTCCCTCGGCCCGGGGCCTGCGCACACCTGCGCCCACACACACGCACGGCCGAGGCTAGACAAGGCCCCAGGCCAGGCCAGATCCACAACCACAGGGGGGGGGGCCGGGGGCAGAAGACAGGGGCGGCCCCGGGCCCGGGCCCGGGCGGGGGGCGCGGAGGGGGGGGAGGGTAACTCTCTCGCCTCGACGGCGCCAGGCCGTCTCCCCCGGCGAATGGACAGCCGACAGGACGCGCAGATCTTGAATGCGTTTGCCCGGGTCAGCATCTGCGTCCCGAACGTGCGGGATGCCCGAGGAAGGGCGGCGCGCAGCCGGCCGGGGCACCGGGCCGACGGGGAACACCGGGCAGGCAATGCGCACCTCTGCCCGCGGAGGGGCGCATATGTGTATCGTGAGTGGGAGCTGCGCGAGCATTGCCGGGCGCGTGTGCGAGCCCATGTGTCTGTGGCAGCGGGTCTAAGCATCCCGAGGGCCGGTCTATCTAGTTCCCAGCCCCCGGTCCCGCGGTGCGAGATGCTGCCCGGCCCTTTTGCCCCCGGCAACGCGTGTGTACGCGACCCAGGAAAATGGGCCGCCATAGCGATCCGCGTTCGCCCGGGGGGGGGGGGGGGGAGATCGCGGGGGCTCTTGGGTCTGGGCGCCCGGCAGGCCCTGCTCCCTTGCGCGGCCAAGCGGGGGCGGGGTCCCCCCCCGCCCCCCCCGCCCTGCGGCTGTTGCCGGCATTCTCCCCGTCTCGGCCCCGCCGGCGGGCCTGGCGTCCGAACCGGCGGGCATCGGGCGGGTCTCAAGCATGTGGGGCTTTTTGAAAGGGCCGGCTGTGGGCCAGTGCCAGCCGGGCGGCGGGATCTAGCGCACAGAACGCGGGGGGGGGGAGGGAGGAATGCCAGACACATCTGGCATCTTGGACGCGGCCTCGGGGGAGGGGTCCTCCGGCCCGGCCCGGCCCGGCCCGGCCCGGCGTACACGGGCCCAGAATACCGTCCGTCCGCCTGGCCTCTGCCCCTCGTCTTCCCCCTGGGCCGAGGGAAATGACGACGGCCGCCGGCCGGTCGGGGCAGCGAGGCGGGCGCGGAGTCAGTTGGCCCCCTCTCCGGGTGCGTCGCCGCGCCTCTCGCCGCCCCTGAGCCTCCGACCTGGGCCGAAGGTCGGGCACTGAGGATGGTCAGGCGTGCAGCCGGGGATGCAGGGGGCGGCGCGGGCGCGTTGCGCCCGTGTACGGGCGACACCCCGAGCAGCGGACAAGGGGGGGGGGGGGAGGACGGGCCGGGCCCAAGGGACAGCAGGAAGGAGTCTGCGCCGCCTGGCGTGCCACCCCCCCCCCCCCCTCCCCCGCTCCCGGGCATGCGGGATC